TTTTATCCAAAAAGGAAAAATGGGATCACTAAATAAACAATTAAAATGTGTATTTGTTGAGAATGATGACCTGATTGTTTCCTACAGAGTCTTCACCCCCAGTTGATGTGTCTGGTTTGGTAGCTGGCATTGTGGCTATTGTAATAACAGCGATTATAGCCACTGTGTTGGGCATTTATTGCTACAAGAACAGGGGCAAAAATTCAAGAGGGGGCAGATAAATGCATGTCATCATGACCACAGCAACATGCCTTTTATGCAGCAAAATCACACTAATGGATTCTGCATCTTCACAGCTTTCCTGTGCATATGGGTGTGGATGGGCAGCCACTACCTGAATCTGTGCCCTTGTCTAACAGGGCTCCAGGTCTCCCCTCATACAATGAGGCTCTGACCCACAGTGGCCAGCATGATGCACCTCCACCGCCGTACTCTGGGTAAGAGCTCTGAACGGCTTGTTTGTATATCGTATACATAAGCGATGCAGTGCCTGCTGTAAAATTCTTTTGCGCTGCATGTTCAAAATATGTTTTAAAATATGCATCTTTGCTCTTTACAGGGGAAGTCCATCTGAGCCACCTCAAACTCAAGATGAGGAATGACAAAGACATGTTGTTGTTGTTGTTGTTGTTATTTTTTTAAAGGGGAGGGGTGATACAGGGTTTTACTAGTGAAAAAGTGTAGCTTCAGTCACTAAGTGGGTAATTTATTATACTAAGGCTACATGTTCTGCAGTACCCTATTTTATTCTTTAGAATTATTTTGCTACTATCATCATGGAACATAGTTTCAGTGTGAATACTGTCAATATTTTCATAAATCAGGTTTGCTATTTTTTTTAAAGAGTTTTATTAAATGTACTGTAATTTTCATTATTAATAAAATAAAATGTAGACAAACTTGAATTTGATTGCTAATTCGACTGTGACGCTTAAATCGATTCCAGTATTTGCCATTAGTCGCTGTTGTCACTCATCGTCACAGGATCAGTGCGCACCGCCACAGACCGTACTAGTGAGAGCGTCCTATACTCAGCTGTGCCTCTGTGCTGTAACAAGGCGGCAGTACGCACGAGACTTCCA